ATGGCTAGAAATGCAACCTAATCTTTGTATGTTAACATTATACCCTGCTACTTTGCTGAATTCATTTATTGGTTTTAGCTGTTTTTTCTGTGTGGAATCCATATTCCCAGCCAGGCAGGCAGTCATCTGACCCTCTCTGCCCCTCTCTCCAGCACTTAAACAATCACATGGCCTCAGTGACGTTTTCTACATTTCAAATGTGACATTTATAGAAGTCAGATTTTGCAGCTGGGTCAACAAGGAGGCTCTGTGTAGGAACAGAGAAGAAATTACAGAAATGAACCTTTTGCCATTCTGAGTAAGTTTAATCTGTGTAATTTGGTAAAACTCTTAATTTTATCATTAGTATTATAAGAAGTACCTTGTGAATTCCCTGGTGGTCCAGTAGTTAGGACTGTGTGCTTTCACTGCCAAGGGCCTGGGTTCATCCCCTCTTCCGGGAACTAAGATCCCACAAACCTCGCAGTGCTACAAGAAAAAAAAAAGCACCTTATGCATTCAATCCTTGGGAATAGTTCTGACCACCTGGGTGGTTATCTCTTTTTTATGGGGTGAAACTTATGCCTTAGAAAATGTCACATAGCTTGTCAGTGGGTGAGTCAGGGCTTTTTAAAGCCTGTTTGCTCTTAGTAGAGGCACTGATGTAAAACCTGTTAGCATTTCTGTGGACCCCTAAGCTGCCCGTTTGCCATCTTCTGGCAAGTGCACCAGCTACTGCAGAAGTGGGAGAATCTCAACGTATAATACAGAAAATTAGTTCATTCTAAAATTGTGAATGTGATTGATAATCATATACAAAAGCACCAACCTGAGGGTATACGTGATAAAAATGAGTTCAGTTTTAACACCTATCATCTTTTTTTTAACCCCACCAGAGAATTTCTATTATCATGTCTGTTTGATTTTTCATCAGTGTCTTACAGTTTTCAGAGTACAGATCTTTTTCCTTGTTTTTTATTCCTAGATACTTTATTCTTTTTGATGCAGTGGTAAATGGGGTTTTTCCCTTAATTTCTCTTCCTGATCTTTTGTTGTTAGTGTGGTAGGAATGCAGGAGATTTCTGTTGTGTTAATTTTGTCTCCTGCAACTTGACCGAATTCATTGGTGAATTCTAATAGTTTTCTGGTAGCGTCTTTAGGATTGTCTGTGTATAGCATGAAGTCAGCTTAAGTCAGGTGGCCTCCTTAGTGATCTTCTGTACCTGCGTTTCAGCTTCTCCAGAAGTGTTAACCCAGGTGCAGGAGGTGGTGCTGGCCACAGCACAGACACCACCTCACTCAGCTGGAAGATAATCAAGGGCCATCCTGTTAGGCAGGCTTCCCAGGTGGCTCAGTGGTAAAGAATCTGCCTGCTAAGCAGGAGATGTGGGCTCAATTCTTGGGTTGGGAAAATCCCCTGGAAGAGGAAATGGCAACCCACTCCAATATTCTTGCCTGGGAAACCCCATGGACAAAGAGTCAGACAAGATTAAGCAGCTAAACAACAACAGTCCTATTAGCAATAGCCTTGACCAGAAGGTCCATATATTTCTCTGGGCAGTTAGTGTTGTAGCAATGGAATCTGCAGTCTCTGCAAGAGTTAAGGTTTCTGATCACAGCCTCACTTTTAATCTACTCTTAATCGGGGAAGTAGGGCCCTGCCAAAGGAAGCGGATCCTGAATCAGGAAAAGCCTTCCGGTAGAACCTTTCTTTACTTCCCTGGCGGCTCAGATGGTAAAGCATCTGCCTACAACGCGGGAGACCCGGGTTCAATCTCTGGGTCGGGAAGATCTGGAGAAGGGAATGGCAACCCACTCCAGTATTCTTGCCCCCCCGCCATAAAAAAGGGGCTCAAAGAAATATATGACTCCTGGTGGCTCAGATAGTAAAGCGTCTGTCTACAATGCAGGAGACCTGGGTTTGATCCCTGGGTCGGGAAGATTCCCTGGAGAAGGAAATGGCAACCCACTCCAGTACTCTTGCCTAGAAAATCCCATGGACGGAGGCGCCTGGTGCAGGCTACTGTCCATGGGGCCGCAAAGAGTCGGACACGACTGAGCAACTTCAAGTCCAGAATGGCAGTCCAGGCCCTTTCTAGAGCAGGTAGGGGGCATGGTTATGTAACTGACTGGCATCACCCAGCTGTGCGCCACCACTGAGGCATCCACAGGCCTAAGGAGAAGCATAATCACCCCAGAGAAAGAGAAGCCTTGTCAGGGCACAAACTACTTCTGTGAAGATGGCACTGTTAGTGGATTCATTTGTAAGAACTGTTATCTGTTTGTTATCATTCAAACCAGGGGTCTGTTAACTTTTAAGGCTAGGAAAAAAGCTATTCTGAATTTCAGACATTACCCCTTTAGCTGTGGCCTGAGAGATGCAAGTGAGGGTATAATCTCCCCAGGTCAACGCCAGAGTAAAGAACCGGATTCACGCTTAGTTAAAGCCTGGGTCTGGCGTCTTGGACTAAGGCAGTTGTCTACCTTGGTGTCAGCTGCCTTGCTCCCAGGTCACTGTGGTCAGGAGGTCCCCAGCGTACCTTCTAGTTTCCCTGAAGTGTCAGTGGACAAGCACACTTGGTGAGGTCCTTTCTGAAGGGGCTTGAGGGCTGCTTTCCTTCTTCCTGACTCCAAATCAGGAAGTGGGAGAATATTGGAAGCATTAATTTGAATCAGAGCTAGATATTTGAGGAAACTACGAAAATTCAGGATCCAGGCCAGTTTACAGACATGGTAAAAAAGCTCCAAGATAATTAGCAGGAGTAGAATCTAATAGCTACAGAGGTAAACCATTTTTTTTCCTCTATAATTACTCCCCTGCCCTTTTTTCTTTAACCAGAGATGATTGCAGTAAAGCTCATTTGTTTGTGTTAAACTTGGCCCAACTGTTTATGTAAGCACAGCAGGAAAGGTGGCTGATCACATTAAATCTCTTCTAAGATTGCTTTCCTGGAAGCCTGAAAGCCAGGTACCGGCTCAGTTGCTCCAAGCAGTTCCCTGAAGCTGTGTGGGCACATCCGAGCCTACACCTGTCTCTCAAATACGACATTCCAGTCAAGCCTGGGTAAACAATGGTGTTTCAGTTTGTGTCCTGTCACAAGAACAGATTCTTACTGAATTTATGTGAACAGATATACTGTCAGGAAAATAAGAATAGTCACTGAGACTTCCTGAATTCTGGAAGGATCAGTTAAGGTTAAAAAATAGAGGTCTCGGGGCTAGATGTCCAGTGGCTAAGCCACTCTATGCAGGGGGCTGGAATTTCATCCCTGATCAGCGAACTAGATCCCACATGCTACAAGTAAAAGCTCACATGCCACAAAGAAAACCTGGTACAACCAAAGAAATAAGTAAACTTTTTTTAAGGTAGATGTCTCATCTGTGCTAACAAAAGTATATTGTACCATATTGTTGTAAGTCATAGGTAACCTGAGAGAAGAAAAGGTCTCTCTAAATCTGGCAAAACAAAAAACATCAGAGCATCCTCCTCAGTCTCTGTTGCCCTGTAATTAACACAATTCTACTTGAATCTTTTTCCCATTCTTTCAACCTTGCCTGATGATTGTGGTCAACAGGGCAGTGATCCTTCCAGGAAGTTCGTAGTGTTTTCATGTGATGTGCCCGGTTGATGTGGGCGCCTCGATCATTAGAGACTGGAAGGTGCACCCCAAGCAGGAAGCACATTCTTTAACAGTTTCTTTGCCACCATGAGGGCTTTTGGCTTTTTCTTCATTGGATGTTCTCTTGGTTTCTGTAGACCTTTGTTTTTCAGAACTCTGATGAAGGCATTTCCCCCAGTCTCTAGTTGCTTACTGAATGTTCCAAAGGTGGGATCAAGGGCCTGGAGCTGCCTGGCCCACCATGTTGGTGATGTCACGCTCTCCTTACTTAATTCCTTATTCTTTCCCTTTCAGGAGGCAGGAATCATGAGATGGGAACTGTTCAGGACACAGGAGTGAGGTGCCTTTCACTGGGAGAGCTTTCCTGCTGGCAGATCAGACACGTTGTGAGCAAATCAACCAAAAGCCAAAACTCTGTGATAAACATTCAAGAGAAGAGTTCTCAGTCCCCCAAACAACATAATTCCCCTGCAGGAGTATCTGCCCAGGCTTCCATGGAAGGCAGCTGTTTCGTGACTCTTATAGAAGGTCATTCTGATATTATTGAAAATCAAGAATTTCCAGCTGGGAGAGCTCCAAATTCCTGGAGTAAACTCTGTCTGAGTGGGACACAGAATTACCAGAGGGGCTGTCAGCTGATTCCCATGAAGAACAAGATCTGTATGTTTGCTCCATGTGTTGACTTTTTCGCGTGTATCTCCCCCCACCACGAGGACCACACAGTGCCCCAAAGAGAGAAGGCTCAGGGCACCAGAGAGTGTGGTAAAGACCTAAAGGCATCACTGCTAGCCCAGCGAAGCATCCTTGAGGCTGGACCGAAAGCCTACCCCTGTAAGGAGGGTAAGAGAGGACTCGGTGACAGCGCCAGCCTGGAGCTTCATCAGCGGCCACACGTGGGCGGGATGTCTCCGACCCACGGGACGCCCAAGAAGGACCCGGGTCACGGCTTAGCGTGCCCCACTCCACCGGGTGCCCTCCCGGGGACGAAGCGCTACTGGTGCCACGAGTGCGGGAAGGGCTTCAGCCAGAGCTCCAACCTGCAGACCCACCAGCGAGTCCACACCGGGGAGAAGCCCTACTCGTGCCACGAGTGCGGGAAGAGCTTCAACCAGACCTCGCACCTGTATGCCCACCTGCCCATTCACACCGGGGAGAAGCCCTACCGCTGCGAGAGCTGCGGCAAGGGCTTCAGCCGCAGCACCGACCTCAACATCCACTGCAGGGTCCACACTGGCGAGAAGCCCTACAAGTGCGAGGCGTGCGGCAAGGGCTTCACGCAGAGGTCCCACCTGCAGGCCCACGAGAGGATCCACACGGGCGAGAAGCCCTACAGGTGCGCGGACTGCGGGAAGCGCTTCAGCTGCAGCTCCAACCTTCACACGCACCAGCGGGTGCACACAGAGGAGAAGCCCTACAAGTGCGAGGAGTGCGGCAAGCGCTTCAGCCTGAGCTTCAACCTACACAGCCACCGGCGCGTGCACACGGGCGAGAAGCCCTACAAGTGCCAGGAGTGCGGCAAGGGCTTCAGCTCCGCCTCCAGCTTCCAGAGCCACCAGCGCGTGCACACGGGCGAGAAGCCCTTCCGCTGCGGCGAGTGCGGGAAGGGCTTCAGCCAGAGCTCCTACTTCCAGGCCCACCAGCGCGTGCACACCGGGGAGAAGCCCTACAAGTGCGAGGTGTGCGGCAAGCGCTTCAACTGGAGCCTGAACCTCCACAACCACCAGCGCGTGCACACGGGCGAGAAGCCCTACAAGTGCGAGGAGTGCGGCAAGGGCTTCAGCCAGGCCTCCAACCTCCAGGCACACCAGAGCGTCCACACCGGCGAGAAGCCGTTCAAGTGCGCCGCGTGTCAGAAGCGGTTCAGCCAGGCCTCGCACCTGCAGGCGCACCAGAGAGTCCACACCGGGGAGAAACCCTTCAAGTGCGGTACCTGCGGCAAGGCCTTCAGCCAGAGGTCGAACCTTCAGGTCCATCAGATCATCCACACGGGCGAGAAGCCCTTCAAGTGCGAGGAGTGCGGGAAGGAGTTCAGCTGGAGCGCGGGGCTCAGCGCCCACCAGCGGGTGCACACGGGAGAGAAACCCTACACGTGCCAGCAGTGCGGGAAGGGCTTCAGCCAGGCCTCGCACTTCCACACGCACCAGAGGGTCCACACGGGGGAGAGGCCCTACAGATGTGACATATGTTGTAAGGGCTTCAGCCAGAGGTCGCATCTTGTCTACCACCAGAGGGTCCATGCGGGAGGGAATCTATAGGGGTGGGGGTGTGGAACTGGCCTCAGCGAGGACCCACCTCTTCATCTCTGTTGGAAGAGTCCGGTCCTGGGGATCGTGGGAGGTTCCTGTGGGCCTTGGAAGCTCCGAGGCATGTTCATGGGAAAGAAGCTGTAGAAAAGGCAGTGTTTGCAAGTTTCAGCTGGGAGGTGACCTCTTTGTAGAGGTCACCATAAATATGGTCAGTGGTTACTCCAGAGCCCTGAATACCCTCTCAAGATGTGACACGAGAAGAACCACTGCCCTTTTCCCAGGAGAGAAGGCTTATACATGAAGGTTATGGGCAGGGCTTGAACTAACAAAAGTATAGTGCAGACAGTCATTGTCAGCTGAAGGTGCCCTCCACCCAGAGCGGGCTGTTTGTCACCACTGTGTCTCTACCGTGTAGAACTGTGTTTGGCTTCTAATAGGTCCCCAGCGATTACTGAACCAAGTGTAGAAAAACCCTCTAATTAGGACAAATATTTGAAAATTCTGGTCCAAAATAATTCCCTCCCCTAAATTTGTAACAACATACTCAAGAGGAATCCTGCAAGTCGCCTTAATCAGATTGATTTCAGGAAACATTCACTGACACACTCACGTTAATACTGCCACCCACGACAGTACCGATTTGGACGAGGCTTGTGAGTGGCCACCAGCCTCCATCCAGCTTCAGTCGTATGTATAGAATTACCCATTGTGTGCAGTGTAATATTTAGTATCATTAGTTTGTATTTTATACACCAAAAGAGACTTTTTATTAGTCTAATAACATATTACAATTTATATGATTGGAAATTTTGTACCCTAACTTGTTACGGTAGGATTTTACTGTAACTGAAAGTGTTAAAAGCAGTTACTAGTGACAAAAAGTTTCTTAGTAAACTTGAGTTGTTAATAATTGATTTCTTTGCATTGTTTCCATTCAGGTCCTGGTCATAGTGTCTTTTCTATGCATGATCCTTTATCCACACTTCTTTAGGCAGTGGGTTTGGCAGAAACCAAGGATATTGTTTGTCACATTCCACCCAGTTGTCCCCTCCCTAAAAATGGGGTGGGGTAGACAAGAACGCTTTTGGATTTTGAGATTTCATGTACACAGCATTCTGTGTTAAAGGATTGGACGTCTTAGTAAAAGTAAACATTCACTGGTTAATATATATCAAAATACTCTGACCTGGCAAATCCTAGCAGTAGGGATTTTACTTACACAAAGGAAGATTGTCTCACTCTTTCAAGGGGCTTCTCTGGTGGCTCAGTGGTCAAGAATCCACCTGCCAACACAGGAGATGCAGGTTCAATCCCTGAGTCAGGAAGATCTGGAAAAGAAAATGGCAACCCACTCCAGTATTCTTGCCTGGGAAATCCCATGGACAGAGGAGATGGGGTCACAGATTTGGATGTGACTGAGCACACAAGTAAAATTGTACATAAAGATGCTTATACTGATTTTAAAGGGGGGGGGCACAAAATACTTACATAAATATATTGTAATAATAAACAGCCATGTTACAGGTTGTGATGACAGGAAAAGAAATGTTCATGAGAAAAGTAGATGAGTGTCTTCCTGGTGTAGTCCAGGTCGTTAGAGGATGCATATACCTAATGATGTGGTCATGTGCATGGAGGTGTGCCTAGTCATGTGATCATGTGCACGGAGGTGTACCTAACCATGTGGTCATGTGCACGGGGATGACAGGTGGAGAGATACTGATTAATCTGCTACCTGGTTTACTCCAGCAGAGGTTGGGGTGGATTTTCTTTACCTATTTTTTTTTGTATCTTCTTTTATAACAAGGTTTTTTGTTTGTTTGTTTTGTTTTTTGTTTTTTCCCATTTATTTTTATTAGTTGGAGGCTAATTACTTTACATCATTGCAGTGGTTTTTGTCATACATTGAAATGAATTAGCCATGGATTTACATGTATTCCCCATCCCGGTCCCCCCTCCCACCTCCCTCTCCACCCGATCCCTCTGGGTCTTGCCAGTGCACCAGGCCCAAGCACTTGTCTCATGCACCCAACCTGGGCTGGTGATCTGTTTCACCCTAGATAATATACATGTTTCGATGCTGTTCTCTTGAAACATCCCACCCTCACCTTCTCCCAGAGTCCACAAGTCTGTTCTATACATCTGAGTCTCTTTTTCTGTTTTGCATATAGGGTTATCGTTACCATCTTTCTAAATTCCATATATATGTGTTAGTATACTGTAATGGTCTTTATCTTTCTGGCTTGCTTTGCTCTGTATAATGGGCTCCAGTTTCATCCATCTCATCAGAACTGATTCAAATGAATTCTTTTTAATGGCTGAGTAATATTCCATGGTGTATCTGTACCACAGCTTCCTCATCCATTCGTCTGCTGATGGGCATCTAGGTTGCTTCCATGTCCTGGCTATTATAAACAGTGCTGCGATGAACATTGGGGTGCACGTGTCTCTTTCAGATCTGGTTTCCTCAGTGTGTATGCCCAGAAGTGGGATTGCTGGGTCATATGACAGTTCTATTTCCAGCTTTTTAAGAAATCTCCACACTGTTTTCCATAGTGGCTGTACTAATTTGCATTCCCACCAACAGTGTAAGAGGGTTCCCTTTTCTCCACACCCTCTCCAGCATTTATTGCTTATAGACTTTTAGATAGCAGCCATCCTGACTGGTGTGTAATGGTACCTCATTGTGGTTTTGATTTGCATTTCTCTGATAATGAGTGATGTTGAGCATCTTTTCATGTGTTTTTTTGCCATCTGTATGTCTTCCTTGGAGAAATGTCTGTTTAGTTCTTTGGCCCATTTTTTGATTGGGTCATTTATTTTTCTGGAGTTGAGCTGGAAGAGTTGCTTGTATATTTTTGAGATTTAATCCTTTGTCTGTTGCTTCATTTGCTATTATTTTCTCCCAATCTGAGGGCTGTCTTTTCACCTTGCTTATAGTTTCCTTTGTTGTGCAAAAGCTTTTAAGTTTCATTAGGTCCCATTTGTTTATTTTTGCTTTTGTTTCTAAAATTCTGGGATGTGGGTCATAGAGGATCCTGCTGTGATTTATGTCGGAGAGTGTTTTGCCTATGTTCTCCTCTAGGAGTTTTATAGTTTCTGGTCTTACATTTAGATCTTTAATCCATTTTGAGTTTATTTTTGTGTATGGTGTTAGAAAGTGTTCTAGTTTCATTCTTTTACAGGTGGTTGACCAGTTTTCCCAGCACCACTTGCTAAAGAGGTTGTCTTTTTTCCATTGTATATTCTTGCCTCCTTTGTCAAAGATAAGGTGACCATAGGTTCGTGGATTTATCTCTGGGCTTTCTATTCTGTTCCATTGATCTATATTTCTGTCTTTGTGCCAGTACCATACTTTCTTGATGACTGTGGCTTTGTAGTATAGTCTGAAGTCAGGCAGGTTGATTCCTCCAGTTCCATTCTTCTTTCTCAAGGTTACTTTGGCTATTCGAGGTTTTTTGTATTTCCATACAAATTGTGAAATTATTTGTTCTAGTTCTCTGAAAAATACCGTTGGTAGTTTGATAGGGATTGCACTGAATCTATAGATTGCTTTGGGTAGTATAGCCATTTTGACAATATTGATTCTTCCAATCCATGAACACGGTATATTTCTCCATCTGTTTGTGTCCTCTTTGATTTCTTTCATCAGTGTTTTATAGTTTTCTATGTATAGGTCTTTTGTTTCTTTAGGTAGATATACTCCTAAGTATTTTATTCTTTTTGTTGCAATGGTGAATGGTATTGTTTCCTTAATTTCTCTTTCTGTTTCCTCATTGTTAGTGTATAGGAATGCAAGAGATTTCTGTGTGTTAATTTTATATCCTGCAACTTTACTGTATTCATTGATTAGCTCTAGTAATTTTCTGGTAGAGTCTTTAGGGTTTTCTATGTAGAGGATCATGTCATCTGCAAACAGAGAGAGTTTTACTTCTTTTCCTATCTGGATTCATTTTACTTCTTTTTCTGCCCTGGTTGCTGTGGCCAACACTTCCAAAACTATGTTGAATAGTAGTGGTGAGAGTGGGCACCCTTGTCTTGATCCTGATTTCAGGGGAAATGCTTTCAATTTTTCACCATTGAGGGCGATGCTTGCTGTGGGTTTGTCATATATAGCTTTTATTATGTTGAGGTATGTTCCTTCTATTCCTGCTTTCTGGAGAGTTTTAATCATAAATGGATGTCGAATTTTGTCAAAGGCTTTCTCTGCATCTATTGAGATAATCATATGGTTTTTATCTTTCAATTTGTTAATGTGGTGTATTACATTGATTGATTTGCGGATATTAAAGAATCCTTGCATTCCTGGGATAAAGCCCACTTGGTCATGGTGTATGATTTTTTTAATATGTTGTTGGATTCTGTTTGCTAGAATTTTGTTAAGGATTTTTGCATCTATGTTCATCAGTGATATTGGCCTGTAGTTTTCTTTTTTTGTGGCATCTTTGTCTGGTTTTGGAATTAGGGTGATGGTGGCCTCATAGAATGAGTTTGGAAGTTTACCTTCTTCTGCAATTTTCTGGAAGAGTTTGAGTAAGATAGGTGTTAGCTCTTCTCTAAATTTTTGGTAGAATTCAGCTGTGAAGCCATCTGGTCCTGGGCTTTTGTTTGCTGGAAGATTTCTGATTACAGTTTCGATTTCCTTGCTTGTGATGGTTTTGTTAAGATCTTCTATTTCTTCCTGGTTCAGTTTTGGAAAGTTATACTTCTCGAAGAACTTGTCCATTTCTTCCAAGTTGTCCATTTTATTGGCATAGAGCTGCTGGTAGTAGTCTCTTATGATCCTTTGTATTTCAGTGTTGTCTGTTGTGATCTCTCCATTTTCGTTTCTGATTTTGTTAATTTGGTTCTTCTCCCTTTGTTTCTTAATGAGTCTTGCTAATGGTTTGTCAATTTTGTTTATTTTTTCAAAAAAACAGCTTTTAGCTTTGTTGATTTTTTGCTATGGTCTCTTCAGTTTCTTTTGCATTTATTTCTGCCCTAATTTTTAAGATTTCTTTCCTTCTACT